ATTAAATACCAAATCACCAAACAAACTAAATCATAACTCTTAAACTGAACAATCTTGTACATCCAACACTCAACAAAAAATGTGAATGAAATGTTTTAGCCACTTTGATGATAAAACGTTCAGTAAGGTTTTCCGCCCAGTGTTGGAATTTGTCGATTCGTAGAAACAATATGGTTCATGCTCGAAAAGAAAAACGAAAGAGAATGTGATATTTAGTTGCACTTTAATGACTTGATAAATATGCAACGTCTAACTTATCCTGGCTTGTTTCTTTCGTCAATGTTAAATTTTGCTATGATTTATATTAATCATCATGTTATTGTTCACATTAATACTATCCCGTTTTAAATTCATGATCAACAGCGACCGATTTAAACTTGATACGTTATCCACGGGAGTCCATGTCTATAATGCCCAAGTTTCCTTTCTTTTACATTGCGTTTTGTGATTAAGAAAACTCAACTCCTTTAAGAATTAAGCATTTCCAGTTGTGTGTATTCAGTGTTAATTTCGTTTTGTCAAATACCTCTTACTAATCAATACAATCTGGGATGATCTCAATGTTTATGTATTTCAAGCCTGTGTCGAATTACTCCTGACACTCGCAAAGAACATATCTGTGAAATGGCGTTTCCTAGCTTGGGTGAATCGATTAACTGTTGTCACATGTATATGACTTGTCCGAGTAAAGTACGTTACAAGAGACACGTGCAACATCCGTCACACGTGGAAGTAGTCATACAATAACTTCCTTCAGTCTTGTCTTCAACCCGTGGTATTTCTATTTCACGTCTTTATATCTGTATTATTGCTATCAAAGGAACTTACTCAAAATTTGCTTGTGTATAAATACAAATTACAAGACACGCAAATGTTGGAAATTAGTATCGTTGTTCTAAATTTTCGAAACGATTTTTGAGACTTCCTTGTTGTTACAAGTATCGAAATTTTGCTTCAATAAACAATGGTAAAAATGGACAGATATTTATGAAATGAGCATTACATCCTGTTATTTTAACGAAAAAAAAATATTTTATTGTAAAATAAGCACTCCTTCCCCCCAAAAGACATTCTTAGAGAAAAATGTTATGCTATTAACTTAAGCTAATCTCGTAAATTCTGTCTCTTGAAAGTTTGCCACTATAAATGAGCGCTGCAATTGGACAAAATAAAAAAAAAGAACCAAATTATGATGAAAAACTTATTAATACCAAAATGTTTAAGATCTGAAGTGCATTCATCTCAATGTATTTCACATTTGTTATTTTTAACATCGTATACTTTCTTTGATTTTCTAAATAAGTTCGGCACTTATTTTTGGTAAAAGTTAAATAGCAAATTATGAGCGTTTTTTTGTATAACGAAAAAATGTAAAGCCATCTCATTAAAAAACTCTATATTAACACACAAATCTTAGTTTTCATATTAAGAAATCCTGCTGAACAAGCAAGTGACACTTAGCTACCGAATTTCGAAATACTTTACTGATAAAATCAATTAGAACTGTCTTAAGATAATGGAAACTTTATGTGAAGTCTGACACAAACCAACGCGTGTTTAACCAATCATATATTAAGCACTAATCATATAGGATGCCTTCCATTCGTCTAATCTTCATAGCATTTGTAGAAATGTTTGAAAAACTTTACCTTCTCTCGGGCAACTGAAAATAAATCCTATCTCAAGAATTTTTACTTCCTCAACAAGGAAGTAAAAAGTCTTTGTATGTGATTTATTTTTAGTTGCGCAAGAGAGGCTGAAGTTTTGAGAAATACTCAAATTTCCACATCAAATATATTTCCATAAATGTAAAAACCAAAACCAGTAGTAATTAATTCATAAACAAACTAAAGAAATAAACCAATACATATACAGAGGTTAAGTGTGATATAGTGAAATGATTTTGGTGCCTCACCAAGTCATTATTGTACATGTTGCCACATCCAGTCGTGCTCTATCTAACAATCGTGCATTTCAACGATAGCAGGACAGCATAGTTTCCACTATAAAAGGTTAAGGCTGTCGTGTCCAAAGCACACATTTATGCTCAGTACTTTCCATGATCCATAAAAGATACGAGGCCGACGGTTTCCCTGTGCCCGTTTCATTCTCCGGTTGCTTGGAGTATGCTATGTTTGAACAGATATGTCATGAATTATCATCTGTTACAAGACCCCGCACTTTACTAACTACACGAATGGTACTATTTGTTGTTGATCCTGATATCACAATTGATCCACATTCCTTTGTCTTCAAATGATATTAAGTATGAGGAATATATCTGTCATGGAAACTCTAAATCCCTGTTCTGAATGGATCTTTATGATCTAAACTTATGAATAATTTGCCTCAGAAAGTGATGCGTCACACCTTTTCCAAAAATGATAAATTTTCGGTGGCATCACACTAACTACGAAACGCCTAAGAATGTGAAAATGTAGTACTGATACATGACGTTTTACCGCGTATTTTATATCGGCTGTGACTGTCACATGACTTACTGA